ATATATATACATATTATACATTTTAATTAAAGTATATTATATTGCTTTCCATTGTGTGTGCAAATTAGATGCTATGCGCAGCAGACCTTTATTTTGACGGGACAAAATCTAAAGTCTATGTTTCTACATGTATCTTGTTTTCACATAATATTTACTTATCATACACACCTATATATTAGACCCTAAGTGCATTGAGTTCAATCAGCCAGTCAGACTTATTTTATGTTATTAGAAGCCCATTCATCTCCTAATTACTTTTAGACTACTATTGTCTAAATGTAGACATCGAGAGGCTCCATTAAAATACATGTATGCAATCAATACCCAACAACCAACAACAATAACGATGAATATCTTCTATGTTAAAGAAGCACCAAACCATATATCAGATGAGGAGAGAGGGTAGGGGGGGGGGTGATAAAAGTTTGAGTCTTGTTTGATAGGACAAAAATAGATGGCGAGAGCTGGTTTTCCAATGCAGTGGTGCCCCAACGGTTGCCCCAACCACGGGATAGAAGAAGAAGAAGAAGAAGAAGAAGAAGAAGAAGAAGAAGAAGAAGAAGAAGAATCTTCACCCAAGATCCCACAATCAATAATTCCCTTTACACTTAAGATTCTGCTGTTAAAAAATAAACCGAACGAAGCAACAACAAATTTTACTACGCAAGAGTCATCACTAAGATAAATTATCCCCCTCTGTAGTGTAATAAGGGACTAAAAACGCTGCTCTCCATAATACCATACTTTAATTAACAAAAAAACATCCACGCTCATACATGCGATCACACCTCCGCTCAAAACCTCGATGCCAAGGATTACAAGACATGTCCTAGTCTAGAAACAGTGGGCACAAAGGTATTTCAGTTTCAGTCGATTTGGGACCATGGCCAGGACATTCATGATATGTAGACAGAGGATAACCATGTCCATCAAATTATCACCATGAACGGCTGCTGGGTGATCGCTTCATTAATAAGGACGGAGGAACGCAACGACACGTAAGCTAACAAAGACTGTACTGTTCCTGTATCAATAATAGTAAGTTTTGATCTCATTCTAAAAGTCCAAAGGTGCTGTTATCTCTTTTTTTTAATATTTGAAATCATTGTGCGCTCCACTTTGTGAAAAACTGGAAACAAAATTATTGTAATCAATAATAATATTTATAGACCAAGACGCACTGTTAGCAATCAGATAAAGCTGGCATTGGCCCTCTTTTGTGTTCGCTATTCCTTACACATAAAGTTAGTTATGGCACATGCCTAGAATCATACAATCATATCTTAAATTCAGTTTAAAAGTATATTATTATCCATTTCTTATAATTAAATTCAGCATCTTGAAAAATTATCTTTATAATTTGATATGTTTGATAATTTTATGTTACTCAGACACGTTTTCTTCTTATTTTACACATCTTCTTGATTTTTAAACTACAACATAAAACTCTTAAATAATTGAACTGTCCGTATCACACCCAGAATTTATCTTTTTTTTTCTCCCTGTCATTATCCGTCAGCCCGTCAGTTGATCTCTCTCTCTCTCTCTCTCTCTCTCTCTCTCTCTCTCTCTCTCTCTCTCTCTCTCTCTCTCTCTCTCTCTCTCTCTCTCTCTGTCTGCCTGTCTGCCTATCTGCTTCGTCCCTTCCCAAGGCCCACCCCTCCTCTTTAATCCCAGCCCCATCCTCTCTTCCTTGTGTGCATTCCCCCACCCCGCCCACCCCCACAACGTGGCCCAGCCCGATAAGATTCTATAAAGAGAAACGCCACAATTCGTGATTTAGCCCACAGTCGGCGGCCATATTTGATCCCCACCGCGGCGTACTGCTTGTGGCGCCGCGAAGAGAGAGAGGAGGCTCCATTAGTTCTAAACTTCTTGTCCCAGCCCCATCCCGTCTTCCTTGCGTGCATTCCCCCCACCCCGCCCACCTCCACAACGTGGCCCAGCCCTATAAGATTCTATAAAAAGAACAACGCAGTTCGCGAATTTAGTCCATAGTCGGCGGCCATATTTACTCCCCACCTCGGCATGCCGCTCGTGGCCCCGCGAAGAGAGAGAGGAGGCTCCATTAAATTTGTTTTAAGCTCCTATATTGGGCCCTGTTAATACGCACCTCGCTTCACAAGAAATAGGGCCTAAAGCTGTTGGCCTAGGGCCTATGTGCTGTGTACATGTTGTTTGGGTTGCAAATGAGAACAAGGACTATAGACTTCAAAGCTGCATTGTCACTGAGATTTGATAGCTATTAACTGAATCTAATAAAGAGGACCAGTCACAATTAACGCTTCTGTGTTTATAAAATTAAAGCGGAATAATAACCATAAGTGAAAGATGTCAGTGTCAGCTTTTTGTGAGACAATCGGTTGCTTTGACCATATGAGAGAGAAAAACAAATAATCTTATCTTAAAAATGAAAGCGTATCTCTTGGCAAGTTGGCACCGATGCAATAATCGCGCTCTTAACGTAAGTGTTCCCGATCATCATCATCATCATCATCATTATCATCATCATCATCATCATCATCATCATCATCATCATCATCATCATCATCATCCAGTGCCAGATCTGCGACAGATATCGGCGATCATGGTTTTCCATTCATTCCTTTGCTCGGATGCTCTCAGAAAAGCTACGTTTCCCTGATCATTCCCTGTTACCCATTTATTTAGGTACCCTAAGTATGTTGTTCAGGGCCTACTCCTGCCTCGCTTGCCCTCAATTTTGCCAATGAGAGCAAGATGTTCAAGACCCTTATGTCTCTTCTGGTGTCCCAAAAACTGCATTAAAATGTTTCGTTTCCTGATTGTTTTTAACATTGAGCGTACCACGTGGACATGAAGCCCACGTGGTACGCTCAATGTTAAAAACAATCAGGAAACGAAAAATTTTAATGCAGTTTTACTTCATGAAGGACTACTTCATTTGATTTTTTTCCCTTCCACGATACTCCTAGCAGTCTCCTAAGAAACCACATTTCTGTTGCTTCTATTTTATTTTCACTGTCTTTAGTGATTGTACAGCATTCACAGCCATATATAGAAGGGTTGACCAAACATAGCATTTCAGGACTTTCATCTTGGTGTTCATTGAGATGTTTCTATTTTTCAGGATTGAGCTCATTTTATTGAAACTAGCCTTAGCCATTGTAGAATCTAGTTCTCCTTTTTATTTCTGTGGAACATTTCAGGTGTTATCATAATATATCCTAGATATTTAAACTGTTGGACTTGTTTGATCTTTTCACCTTTGCTAATGAGATTACAACTAGGGTTTGCTGGGTTTTTTTGTGGATATTACCATGCATTCTGTTTTCGTTACATTCAACAATAACCCTTTACGTTCACTTTCTGTTACAACAGTATCTAGAAGCAATTGAAAGTCCTTTTCGGAGCCTGCTATTAAAACTGTGTCATCTGCATACCTGATGTTATTAATATTTTCTCCATTTACTTTGAGGCCTGGACATTCTTCTATGTTTCTAAGGATTGTTTCACTGTACATGTTAAAAAGGTCTGGTGACATAACTCATCCTTGCCTCACTCCTCGCCTGATCTGCTTATTCACTGTATTCTCCATTAATTCGTACAGCAGTGTTTTGGTCCCAGTACAAATTTCTGATAATTCTTAGATCTTTTCCATCTATGTCTAGCTTTTCCAGTATTTTAAATAGCTCATCATGTCTAACTTTATCAAACGGCTTTGAATAATCTATGAAGCATAAATACAGATCTTTCTGTTCTTCAATAATCTCTCCATTAACATTGTTAAGGTGAATATAGCATTTCTGGTGCCCTTGTCAGGAACAAAGCCGAATTGCGTTTTAGATATCTCTGGTCTTACATTTTTTCTCAATCTTCCCATTATTACTCGCAGCAATATTTTTGTAAAATGACTCATAAAGCTAATTGTTCTGTACATATCACACTCAGTGTCACCTGGTGTTTTAGGTAAAGCTATAAAAACTGACTTCATCATATCTTATGGGATCTCACCGCTGTCATAAATAGCATTTAGGAGCTTTGTGGTTATTCCAGTGCCTAGTTCTTCAAGCGCGACAATCACTTCACTTCAACTGTATTACCTGTCCTGGGCAACAACGTCATTGCACACAGGACAGGTCCATAAGTGCTCAGCCCCCCCCCCCCCTCCCCCAGCACCAAAGCCCGCAAGCAAGGTATCCACTGATTGTTCCGGTGGCTGTCTGATTATGGCGACGTCTTTCCTTTCCAGATAATCGCTTCTTTCTTCCTTCTCCCCTCACTATCTCCATTTCCCGCATCCTAATGATTGCGTGGTGTTCTGCTGTCTCCTTGTCTTCTTCACCCCGCAACTTTTTCTCCAGGGTCTTCAACACTTCTCCTTTGTCAAATTTCACCTCACCATCAACCACAGCACTGCC